AAAAAAAAAAAAAAACAAAGCTGCTTTTCAAAACAACAAGAAAGACTGAGACCAACAACCCTGTTTCTACCTCTCTGCAGTTCTAACACCTGGCTTTCAATCTGCTCTGCACTTCATCTTCAATGGCTGCCTTGACTGCAGTACCTGCAGAACTCTAGCTTCACTAAGAAATGCTGCTGGGAAGAGAAGGAACAGATTTTTCCAGATAACCTTGGATCTTTATGATACCCTCTGAAAACCAGACCAGTGGCTTCTTTTTTTGAAATTTGATTTATGTGTATGCACATGTGTGGGTGCATGTGTGTGGGGAGCCCAGAGGTCAAAACAATGCCATCTTCAATGACCTTTTTACCTTATTTCTGAGACCAGGTCTTCCTGCTCACCAATTGGTTAAACTGCCTGGCCAGCAAGTCCTAGGGATCATCCTGTCTCTGCTCCCCTAGCTCTGGGATTACAGGAGTGTGCCATGATGCCTGACTGTTTTACATGGATGCTGGGGATCCAAACCCAGGTCCTCATGCTTGCTTGGCAAGCACTTTATGAACTGAGTCACTGCCTCAGCCCGGACAAGCAGGTTTTTTTATTTTTAAAACTATTTTATTTTATATGTATGAGAGTATTACCTGAACATATATGTGCACTCGTGTTGCACAATGCCTACGGAGGTGAGAAGAGGGTGTCAGATCTCCTGGAACTGGAGTTGATGGTTGTTAGCTGCCATGTGGGTGCTGGGAATCTTAACCTGAGTTCTCAGCAAGAGCAGCCAGTGCTCTTAACCGCTGAGCCACCTCTCCAACCTGAACAAGTGGTTTCTTAAGGGTCAGTTGTGATAAAGAATCTGAAACTATAATTAATGAACTTTCTGTACTTTCGTATTATAATCTATTGGTGTACACTGAACTCTCATTGGATCTTTTGTTCATACACATAGTCATTCATTAATTATAAATTATAATTATAAATTAGTCATTTGGAATATACAGTGCACTAGCATCCTCACAGCTCAAAGTCTGACTGGTCTTCAATCCTGTCAGTCGTTTTCCTTATTTCCTTAAATGACAAGTGAACTCTGTTCATTTTCAAGAAAAAAAACCTATCAAGTACCCATGATTAAAAGCCTATAGTTTGACTGTCAGTCAATCTTTCAAGTAAAATCGGTTCTATTCAATGACAAAAGCTGCTAAGGCAGCTCAAGTCAGACACTTCTCATTTCAGTCATCAATAAAAGTAATTTCAAAGTAATTCAATTGTGTTTACTGCTTTGTGAAAGACCTTCATAAATGGGTTGAAGTATATTTTCATTGAGGTGTCTGATGGTGAAGAAAACAGCAATCATCAGTACCACACTAGCTGTGCTGTCTGTCAAGCTAACCCGGAAGCAGTTTTCCCTTTATAGCTTTTAGTGCAAAAGTCACCATGGTGAAAAAGACATGTTCCTTGGTACTGCTATGCAAGTTTGGACTTGATGGGCACCCAGAGCAGTCCTGAGGACTCCTGGAAGTTCATACTATGAGAACACAGTTTTACAGGACTTTCTTTTCTTTTTAAAAACCATAATGAATTAGAAACTATTGCCTTTAAAAGTAGCTACTAGCAAGAAATTTTAGAAGAAAGGGATCGTTGGTCCAAACTCCCTCATTGTTTCAAAGAGTTAACAGATCTACGGGGTGAGGGCTTAAGAGTGTGTTCAAAGCAAAGAACTTGACCAGGGAATGGACATTTCTTAGGCTGGAGCCTCCACTAGCCTTCCTCTCTAGCTTTCTGGGACTGGAAGAGATAAAACACCTAAGTCCAAAGTCCAGGGAATGAGGGTAGGGGTGGAGGAAAAACAAGGGCACAGGAGAAGTCTGAACATTAGGTACCTGAAATTATAGAAAATAAGTATATAGCCCAACTCCTAGCCAGATTAATAGAAAGCCTAACATCAAAGGCTATTCAGAAGTTGGGTGTGGTAGCTCACACCTGTAATCCCAGCACAGAGGGAAGAGAATCTTCTGCAGGTTCGAGGACAGCCTGGTTCTACACAGCAATTTCTGGCCCAGACAGAACTATATAACAAGACCTTATCTCAAGAGTCAGAACAGGGGAGAGGAAAAAAAAAAAGCCTCTGTACTTGAGTTCCTATTACTCTTTATATTATGCCTGCCTTCATTTAAAACAAAACAAAAACAACAAACTTATGTAGCATGCTAAAAGGCAAGAAAAAAGTTCTGGCCAAAGAGACAAAGCTAGCATCAGAACCAGACTTAGATATGACACAGCTGTTGCAATTACCGCTAAGCCAGAGAATTTAAAGTAACTATGGTTATTCATTTAAACCTAATGAAAACATTGGGCAGCAGTAGGAAAATCTTAACTAATGCCTTAATGAAGCGCTGCAGAGGTAAAGTTCCCACATACAGCACAAATGTGGGTGTCACTGGTAAAATGAGGATCAGGTGACCAGTTGACCCTTCAAAAGCCCTGACTCTATGTGCTTGTGCCCAGTTTTGCCTCTGTGCCTTCTGAACATGCCCCTCTCCTACATTAAGTGGTACCACTTACAACCAAAGGTCTTTCTAGGTAGTCAGCACACCATGGCGGTTTTTCTACACAGGGTCTTGCCAATCAATCACAGAAGCCATCTCATGCAGGAGGCATTCTTTAGCAGGCAGCCAAGTGCTCTCTCAGCTCTGACTGGAATGTGTTTCAAAAAACTTTCCCCTATTTCCATAACATCTGCACAAGCCACTGAAAGCTACCAGCTCTTTATTAATTTTGTATTTTTGGAGAATTGGATCTTTTTACTGTAGCCCATTACTGTGTAGTCCAGGCTAGCCTGGAACCCAAGAGTCTCCAATCTCAGTCTCCTGAGTGCGAGATTACAGGTGTATACCACCACAATCAGATGCCAGCTCTTTTTAGTCCTTTCTTTTCACTTGCAGAAGTAGCCGGGTGAAGTGCAGCAGCTGCTTATCTAGTTATGTCTGTAATCTGTGCTTGGCATTGCCAGGTAGGTTACTGGCCAAATTACACAGTCTGTACTATTTCTCTTTCAACAAAATTCCAGGTATGAATTCATTAAAATCTCATCTTTTTTATGTAAAAGTTCTTGCGAGTCACTACCTGAGGTTAAGCCCTCTCATGCGATTTCTGTTTCTTAAAAGATCTCATATTCTGAATAGGTCTGTAGGTCTACAGGTTAACTAGAGGAGTTTACATTATGGGGAGAGGAGATAATGAGAACAGAAATCTCAGCTAAACTCTTAATCCAATTCTCTTGATGGGTTCCATTATTTAACCATCCTCCTCAGGTTTGGCTGTACTTAAGTATTTTCACAAAATTATAAAATTGCACTTCTTTAACATTATTTTCTTGTGCTTACCCTTGTCTTGTGCACAGATGTTAAGTTTCTCTTTTGAACTGGGCAAACATTCCTAGATCTTTTGTATTCCATCTTTGAGAACTGGAACCCAACCCCACAGGCTAGAACACCCAGAATCCTATTAGCTCCATACATTATGTACAAATAGTTCCACCTAATGACATTCAGCCTTGCAGGGCTCTGAGAGGAAGCACCCCAGGCACCTCACTTGCTTCTCTCAAGTTCTAGCCTAGGCCCTGGGACCAGGGTTGGTTTATCTCCTTAGGAATCTGCTGCTGTCATCCTCACAATCATTTTGACCTGTCACTGATCGGGCCTCCACGTTCTCTCTACTGTCCATTGCATTTATTAGCTCTACTGCCCCCGACTTTCAAATTTTACACCTAAAACTAAAACTGTCTTCTCATAAATACCATAGTCAAGAGCCAATGCTCCTGCAATTTAAAACCAGCATGGAGAAAAGCAGTCACTGGAAAGGACAGCAGATAGCAAATCAACATTGCTTACAGACCTTACCTCTATGTGTTAACCTCTGGTATGTGTTACCTGGCCAGGCACAGGGAAGATAGACAGGGGAGGGTAGCTAAATCCACACAAACTAATACTTCCATCAGAAAACAAGCCAGAGAACAATGTTTCTATATTCACCGGGTCACACTTGCAGGTGTAAAGAGAAGTGTCTCAGTGAAATGAGTCAGATACCATTGAAAGTCACAGTGGCCCTGGGCCCTAGCACCCAATTTCCTACAGCTAACAAATGTTTTCTTATAATAGTTTCTAGGATCCTTAACCTCCATTAATGGTATGTCTAAGTAAGTAGTACTGGCATTCAGTTTCATGTGGCTCACCCAAAGCAGAACCACAATTAATTAAAAAGGGAACTTGTCAAGGACAGAATCTAGAACATTCCCAGAGCTAAGAAATCTAAATCCCAAATCCTCCTCCTAATTCCTCCATCTGAATTCTACACAAACCTCAAAAGAATGTTGTTTCGACCAGTAAGAATTACCTGTTGTAACACAGAACTTCATTCATCTTGAAAAATATTCTGTTATTTCCTCTGCCCTTCACAGTTCACTTCTTGTAAAGTTTTGGAAGGGTTTTGGAAGAATGAGTATTACTTACCAGGCAGGGCTTATAAGAACGATTAATGTTTAGTCATCTCATTTGACAAAAATATCTTAAACTACTCAAAAGGTGTGAATTAAGAAAAAAAGATGAATAGTAGTAGTTTATATTACATACTTGTAACTTCTTGTAAGAAATCCAAACACGGCCGACTACTTCCTGAAATACTTATTGAAACAGCCAGTGGGGTCTGACCTTCATAGTTCCTTGTGTTCGTGTCCGCTCCATAGTTATACAACATCCGTGCACATAGCACATCATCACGAAGGGCAGACAAGTGTAAAGGAGTTTGTCCATCTTCTAGGCGCCCCAAGTTTGTGTCTGCCCCTCTCTGCAGGAACATTCGGCAGTAAGAATGATTGCTTTTGATCACAGCGTATCGCAGCAGGAAGCCGTTTTGAATGTCGATGTTGGCGTTGTGGTCCAGGAGGATTTTCACACAGCTTGACCTCTCTCGGATGATGGCTAGCTGGAGTGGCGTTGTACCTTTATCACTGAGCGGGTCGACCTCAGCCTTGAACTCCAGAAGGAGCCGGACAAATGAGTCCCTACCGTAGTGGGCAGCCACATGGAGGGGAGTCCAGCCATCATTGCTTTTTGCATTAATAATGTCACTCCTATATTCGGATTCTAACATCAGGCGTGCAATTCGGGCCCGGCCGTGCATGGCTGCGTAATGAAGAGCAGTGAAGCCTCCGATTAAGTCCTTAACCGTGGGATCAGCTAAAGTTAAACCAAAATGAAAACATCAGTGGCTGCTAAGGCAAAGCAACTCTAGCAGGGTACAGCACGTTTTAGCCAGCTCTCATACAAAGTGTGGGGGATTAAAAACTATAAACAACATCAAGGACTTTTCCCCTCAGTTTAGGAGAAATTTCATTTCAGTGGAAAATAAGTCCTAGTGGGAAGTTATCAAACCCAAGTCAACAAAAGGAGACAGACTGCCAGAGTTTAAAAGACAGACACCAACAGCAGGGTTCACCTTACCACACCCCTCTTGCTAAGTTAACCAAGTGCCTTTGGCTGCTCAGCTTTCTTACCTTGTGCCATTTCATATATCTTTGGTTTTCAATTTTTTAAATTTATTTGGTCTTAAAGGGTAGTACATGCGGCAACATCCTCTGCTCTGAACTAGATGTATGATTATCATCTGCAGGGCCTGTTTTAGGCTATACTAGGTTGAAGTTAAAAAAAAAAAAACTTTTCCTGTGGTCATGAAAATTTCAAAGCATGTGAGACGTGAGGTGATCTTGATAAATCATGCTTGCATAGAATAAAACATGACTGAGGTTTTAGTTTTACATGGTCCTAGGAGTTTATAAGACTTAAGTAGTACATCATGTGAAAAATTGGGAGAAACTTCAGCACTGTATAAACATTTTTAAAAAACAATTTTCAAAAAATTTTAAATGAACAGATCTCTGGGTATGTGTGTATGAGGGGGATCTGCAAAAATAATCTGCTTTTCAAGCCACAGACTTTTGTCACTAGCTCCAGCCTTTTCATGACGTCAAAGGTCAGTGTTTTGCAGCGCACACCCCACAGACATCCTTGAGCAGTGGGCAGAACAGGGACAAGAGCTACTTCCCTCACAGTGTGGAGACCGCTTCCTGGAAGTTAGCCAACCAAAGTGAAAGATAAACTGGTCAGATCTAACTATTAGTATTAAATTATTTCTTCTTACAAAACTTATCTTTTGGGTTGTTTATGAAAGAGAAAGAACAGTAATACAATGTTTTTCACACACACAAAATGCGGCCAAAGTTACAGGATTAGATATTCATGTACTGCTGAATAAAATTTTATTTAGTTCTAGAATATAACAGCTGAGTTCTCTTACAAAAGGCTGTGAGGCAGAAAATGATACCTTGAAATATTAATGCTGCTGCTGAAGGTGAAAATGTCAAACAGTTATTAACAAATAAGACCTATAAATTATTTGAGTTTCTCAAAACATTTAATATAAAATGACAGTCAACAATGGCAGTATCACTTACCTGTCTATAGAGATGAAAATATCCGTACCAGATAACTCAAATCCCAGGACTTATTTACTATGCAACATTAAAAGGGAGGCCACGCTGCAGCAAAGCATCCTGCTGCCATCTACTGGAGGAATCTGAATGCAATCTAGCCATTTTTCACTTTGACATGACAGAGCTCTTAGGCCATTCTGTTTCTACAGACCCTGCTTTATCTAAAATGGAGAGGTGGCTCAGCTGTTAAGAGAACTTGCTCCTTTTCCAGAGAACCTCAGTTCAGTTCCCAGCACCCACGCCAGCCAGCTCATAATTGTCTTTAACTCCAGTTCCAGGGGACTTGACGCCCCCTTCTGGCCTCTTCAGGCACTGCACACGCATGTTAAAACCCACACTCAAGACACACATATATACACACATAATCAAAAATAATAAATATAAAATAGATGAAGTAAAGACAGACAGGAGAGCTAAGATTCGCTCCTATTCAAATAGAAAAGCCCCACTAAAACAGCATGCGTCTCTAATCTGTACCTAACCACCTGTTTCCAGATAACCCCTCTTGATCTGTCGGTGAAATTTAAGAATACTTTCACTTCTACCCTTCATCCACACAGGGAGCCTTTAAAGGTGTCGGCCAACACCCTTATCTGCATCCTACAATCGTTCTGTTTGACAGTAACATTAAAACTCTGCTACATGAAGTTGCTCTGGCATTTTTGGTTTACACGGAAGGTCCTTTTAAGGTTCTATTTACATTCTGGTGCTGTACTGAACTAAGGAAATACACAGATTAACACACACAGCAATAACCTGACTGGTCTCAGTAAAAATCATTTAAATGAATTAACTGAACCCGGGAGCAAAGCATAGAGCAGAGAGCTGCAGGGTAACAATGCAAAACAAAACTAAGCAACAACGAAACTCCCCAAAACTCCAGTTACTGTCCTCAAGAAAGTAATGTCAAATGACATAATAAAACATACAAGGATGAAAACAAAGTGTAATTACAGGATTAGTGTTAGCCAATGCAATACAATAAGAAAAAAATAAGACCATCTCATTTGTAGTATCAATGGAAACTAAAGAACACCCAGACAAAAGTTCAGCAAGAAATGTGCACAACAAGCAAAATCTTCTCCTGAATTTATTTAACTGATCTCATCTATGTCTGCTCAAATGTCTCAACTGAAAAGACTTCCCTGAATACTGTCTAAAACGACTACCTCACCAAGGTTATTATTCTGTCCCTCACCAGATGGGTGCCCATTTTAAACAAAATGCAGCATAATCTAATTTAAATACATAAAAAATTCACTTTTTTAAAAAACAAAACCAAAGAAACATTTCCGTATTGAATATGGCTTCTTTGTGTTCTAAAAGCTTTATTGAGCTGAAGTAAAATTTACTCATTTAAGTGTACAACTTGATAAGTTCTGAGAATGTGTATATATAGTCAGAACAACTAGAACAGTCAATGTGCAGAATATCTCCATCACCCCTGACTGCCTTCATGTCTCTTTGCAACTGATTTCCTCTCTGAACTCTGGGACACGGGCAAACAAACCACTCATCAGCAAAAACAAAACTTTGCTTTTTCTAGAATTTTACAGCAAAGGGTTCATAGGCAGATTTTTGTGTTTGACTCACTTCACTTAGCGTGACATTTCTGAAATTCATACAGCTAGTTATATCAAAACTCACTGCTTTGTTTCACAGCACAGCATACCAAAATATGGTTGTGTTTCTACCTGACTGAAAGCCAGACTGACAATTTCTAAGTGGCTATACCGTTTTATATTCCCACCAGCAATTTATCAGAGCTTCTATTGTTCCACACCTTGGCACCATCACTATTTATAGTTTATTCATTTTTGTTGGGATATCTCATTACTGAGTCCTAAATTTCTTTTTGTATATTCTGTATATAAGCCAAATTTATTCATTCATTCATTCATTCATTCATTCATTTTTGCAGTGCTAGAAACAGAACAAAGGGCTTCACACGTGCTAGGCAAGCACTCTACCACCCAAGTTCTACACCCCTGTACCCCAATCCTTTATTCTTTCTCTTTTTTTGTTCTTTTTCAAGACACGGTCTCCCTGTAGCCCAAGCTGGCCTAGAACTCGCTATGTAGATCAGGCTGGCCTCTACCTCACAGAGATTTGACTGTCTCTGCCTCCTGCCTCCTGAGTATGAGTGTGCTGGGATTAAAGGCATGTGTCACCATACCCAGCCCAGTCCTTTATTCTTGGTTGAATCTATTATCATTTTTTTTCTCTTAAGAGTGTCTATTGGATTTCTGTTCTAGTAAAGAAAACTTTGTCTAACAAAACATGACAATGACACTGTCTTTTTCTAGACCTTCTGAACTTTAAACCCTTGCATTTAGGTCAATCATCTACTAATATTTGTATATGGTATAAAGTAAGGTCAAGGTCCATCATTTACTACATAGCTATCTATTTGTTCTAGCACCATTTATTAAAGACTTCACAAACACACACACACACACACACACACACACACGAAAAAAAATAGGAAGACATTTTTCCTCAATGGTTTATTTTACTGCCTTTGCTAAAATTCAATTTATCATACAAGTGCAGTCTTATATCTGAACTGTCTTGTTCCATTGATCTAAAATGCTTTCTAGCTGGATGTGGTGGAACACACCTGTAATCACCACACTCAAGAAGTAAGGCAGGAGGATGGAGAATTGTGATTGAACTACACAGCAGAAACCCTATCTCAAACCAAGGGCTGGAGATGTAGCTTAGTGGTAGAGTGCTTACTAAACATGCACAAGACCCTCAGTCCAACCCCAGTACCTCAGGAAAAACAAATGAAACAAAACAAGTCTTTCCATATGCCAATTCCAGACTGTTTTAACTACTGTACTTTTATACTATGTTTGGTACCAGGCAGTCTAAGTTCTCCAATCTTTAAAAAAAAATATTTTGGCTGACAAATTTTAGAATCAGATTAGTTTCTTTACACAAGCTTCCTCTATTTTTTACTAGAACTTCACTGACTTTAAAGACGGCAAGCTCATCTAAATACTAATGATGATCACTAAGTACTAGTTCCTCATATAATGAGCATATTGTCTTCTCTAGTCAGGTCCTCCTTAGTTCACCTCAGCAATGCTTCAATATGCAAGTTCTAACTTCTTTCATTAAAATCATTACTAAAATTTAAAACTGTTGCCATTATGAACTGCAACTTCACTTTCCAAATATTAGCTGATGACAGAAACTGAGTCCTGTGATATACATTTCTGTAGATTAAAAAATTTATATGCACAATTAAAACAGCTTTACCCATATTCTTTTGGGTTTTTTTTTAGATTTTTTTTTTTTACTTTATCATTATTGTGTGTGTATGTATGACATGGGGGATAAGGCACATGTGCCACAACATGTGTATGGAAGTCAGAGGTCAACTTTCAGAAGCCAATTTTTTCTTTCCACCATGGGTTCCAGGAATTGAATTCAAGTCATAAGACTTTACAGCAAGTGCTTTTACCTGCTGAGCCATCTTACTGATCCAAGACAATTTTATTTGCTCCTTGCCAATTTATTTATTGTTCTTTTACTCCAATGGCTAGAACCTACACTAGAATGCTGTATAAAAACAGCAAAAGCACATACACCCTTGTTTTGCTCCTGATCTTAGAAAACACTTAGTAGCTCAGAACTGAGTTTTAAGAAAGCTGTAGCTTCTGATAAATCTCTTTAAAA